GCCCCGTGAGGCCTGGTGTGAGCCCCGTGGGCCCTGGTGTGAGCCCCATGAGGCCTGGTGTGAACCCCGTGGGCCCTGGTGTGAGTCCCATGAGGCATGGTGTGAGCCCCACGGTGCCTGGTGTGAGCCCTGTGGGCCCTGGCATGAGCCCCGTGGGCCCTGGTGTGAGCCCCGTGGGCCCTGGTGTGAGCCCCGTGAGGCCTGGCGTGAGCCCCGTGGGCCCTGGTGTGAGCCCCGTGAGGCCTGGTGTGAGCCCCGTGGGCCCTGGTGTGAGCCCCGTGGGGACTGGCGTGAGCCCCGTGAGGCCTGGCGTGAGCCCCACGGGCCCTGGTGTGAGCCCCACGGTGCCTGGTGTGAGCCCCGTGGGTCCTGGTGTGAGCCCCGTGAGGCCTGGCGTGAGCCCCGTGGACCCTGGTGTGAGCCCCGTGGGCCCTGGTGTGAGCCCTGTGGGCCCTGGTGAACCTCAGTAGGGTGCAGTGTTGGTTCCGTGGCGGCCATGAACTCCTTAGAGACCTCACAATTCCACAAGACCTGCGGCCCAGTGAGGCCTCTGCAGGGCTACCTGAGTCACCATGCAGTGAGTGTGATTCCTGGGGCCCAGGTTGGGTAGGGGCGTCCACGTGGCACCCCCTGAGCCATGGGAGGCTGACCCACCTTGGGCTGGATGAAGGCGATGAGGTCTCCATGCAGGACAGGCTCGGTCAGGAAGCTGTAGGAGTCGACTGACTCCACGCCAATGCCGTAGGCCGCCACGATGGCCGAGTGCGAGCCCAGGGAGAGGCCCACACAAAACTCATACAGGAAGCCTCGGAGGGTGGTGGAGGCCTTCGGGAGCTGCTTCAGGGCAAAGGTTGTGCCTGACGGAGCAGGGACAGAGGTGAGAGGTGCATGAGCCCAGGGCCAGCCCTGCTGTCCCTCAGCCTGGACTCTCTCCCATATGCCGCCCTCACCCCCTCCACCGCCTGCCCCCTGCCAAGCCTGCCCTAGAACAGCGTGGCCACTGAAACAACACCAGTGGTAATGATAATAGTATTTAGTGAGTTCCTACTCTGCTGTCTTGGAGCAGGTAGAATGGTACCACGAAAACCGAACTCAGAACTTCCAATAATTTTATTGGGCCCCTCGTTCCAGCAAACCCATGCCAAAAAGCCATGTTTGAGGCTTGAACTGAACTGGGTGTTAGACCCCACTAAGGAATTATTGTGAATTTTGCCACACGTGGAAACAACTTCCTAGAATGTAAGCTCCCAGGAGGCAGAAACTCTGGTTTCTCCAATTTTTGTTTTTTTTCTTTTCCATTACGGTCCTTAAAAAACTGAAAATAGAGTTATCATGTGATCCTGCAATCCTACTCCTGGGCATATATCTGGTAAAGACTCCATTCAGATACATGCACCCCAACGTTCATCGCTGAACTATTTACAATAGCCAAGACATGGAAGCCACCTAAATGCCCATTGACAGATGAATGGATAAACACAGGATGGAGTATTCCTCAAGCCATAAAAAAGAATGAAGTCGTGCCATGTGCAGCAACATGGATGGACCTAGAGATTGTCATACTGAGTGAGGTAAGTCAGACAGAGAAAGACAAATAGCATATGGTTTGTTCAATTTTTGAGTCACCAGCTGCCAGGGCCCAACCTTGCCCAAGAGGCTGTGTGTGATGGGGGAGGGTCACGTCCTTACCTAAAATGCTAACCATTCCCCTCCCCCTCCCCAACTGGGTGCAGCAGTGCCTCTTCTGTTTATCGACAATGCTCTGAATTCCCACCATCAAGCACAACTGCCTTCGATTTTGAGGACCTGGAAGAGGCCCCCTTACAAACCCTCTGTTCCCCATTATGGCCTCCAAGTTCTGTGACGACCCAGGTCTGCATCTTTTTGCATCTTTCTCTGTTATGGGCTGACTTGTGTCCCTCCCCCCACTCCCCACTGCGAAATTCATATGTTAAAGTTCTCACCCTGCAGTATCACACAATATGACTGTATTTGGCCGTGCCACACGGCTTGCTTGCGGGATCTTAGTACCCCATCCAGGGATTGAACCCAGGCCCGTGGCAGTGAAAGCGCAGAATCCTAACCACTGGACCGCCAGGGAATTCCCTGGAGAGAGGGTCTTGAAAGAGGTAAAATGAGATCATTGGGGTGGTCCTTAGTCTAGTATGACTGGTGTCCTTATAAGAAGAGGAAATTTGGACACAGCCATGCACACAGGGGAGACGGTGTGAGGACACAAGGAGAAGGTAGCCGTCTGCAAGCCGAGGAGCGAGGCTTCAGGAGACCAACCGTGCTGGCACCTTGATCTCGGACTCCCGCCTCCAGAACTGTGAGCCCCCCCTAGTCTGTGGTACTTCATTATGACAATCATAGGAAACTAACACACCCTCTCCCCATTCGTGCTGGGAGCTCCCTGAAGGCTGGGCTGGCTCAGACTCCTCCTTGGGGGCCCAGCAGCCCCCTGGACAGGGCTGAGCCCTCCAGTCTCCTTGGAAGGGGACGACCAGATTGGGGTTGGGGTGCACAACCACCATGTGCTGGCCTTGCTAAGTGCCTGGCAGACAGCATGGCTCTGCGTCACTGCCACGATGACCACCAAGCCGGCCACGTGTGAGGGCCATGAGAGGGGGCTCTGTCTTCCTCCCCATTGTCCCCAGCAACTAGAGCTACCAACATTTCCTCAGGGAGGGGAGGAGGCCCACAGTTCTTTCAGAGAAGGAATCATCACCCACGTTTTCAAAGGAGGAGGCTGAGGTTCGAGAGGGTAGGGGAGTTACTAAGAACACACAGCCTGGAAGGGGCAGAGGCAGGACTTGATTGAGGTTTACAGACTCCTCAGCCTTGGCTAGCTTCTGCCTGGGCCCACACCACTGCCCCCCGCCTCTGTCCCCAGGCCTTTGTACCTTTCTGACGGTGGGTGACCAGCAGGACCCGGCCAAAGCGACCCTGGCCCAGGGGACGCACATGCTGGTAGAGCTCGTCCACCTCGGCCTGGACCAGGGTCTGGGCGCTCAGCGCCATCATGTCCTCCAGTGCCAGGGCCGCTTCCTGGCCCTGCCGCAGCTCCTCTGCCGTGAGGCCCCCCAGGTCCTCCCCAGCACCGTTCTCCACAGCCCCCATCTCCACCTGTTTCTCCTCTGATGGCTTCCCAGGCATCTCTGCAAGGGCAGAAGAGAGGGTGACCAGGATTTAGGTCCTGCCAGACCAGGGGCCAGGGGAGGAGGGGCTGGGGACCTGGACTCCTGGATCTGAGGAGGAGGGTGGAAGCTGATTGTCTCAGGCCATCGTGACTCATTTTCCCTTCTTATTAGAGGCGTCTTGGGAGTGGGGAGACCAGTCTCGGGTTGGGGTGAGGTCAAGTCTGAGGGCACAGATGTCCCTCACCCCACCCCCACATCCCTGCGCCACCTGATGGCCTGAGGATGAAAGATGAACCAGATAACTCGAGACACCCCCCACCTGTTTCCAAAGCAAACAGGCTTGGGCCCTGGGGGTGGGTGAGCAGCCTCAGCGTTCTAAGAGTAAACAGGTGCTCTCTGCCCCCAGAGCCTGTGGAGGGCTCACACCAGGGCCCGGGGGACGCCTGAGGCCTGGGTGGGAGCAAGCACTCGGGGATGATCACCAAGCCCTTACGTGGTCTGGGGTCCCACTCAATAGCCCCAGCCCCTCCCCACTCAGACCCAGGGGTCCAGGCCCCCAGGTCCTCCTCCCTCAGACCCAGGGGTCCAGACACCCAGCCGACCCCTCTGCCACGACCTTATATAACTCACACATCTTGGGACCCCCCCCCAAGACTCTGTGTCCCTGACACTCAACCAGTCCACAGTCTCAAGGTCTGTAATTAGCCCCTGATCCTCCAAAGAACCCAGGACTCTGACCACCTGCACAGCTTCACCCTCAGGCCCACCTCAGGAGGTCTGACCCTTGCCTCCTCCTGACCCGGGCTCCAACCTCCGGACCTCACCTTCTCCAAGGCTTGCCTGACCCTTCGGCTGCCCGCTGTGGTCAGTGCCCAGCACTCAGAGCCCAGGCCAGCAGAGGCCTGCCCTGCAGCAAGACCCCGCCCCCACCTAGGGGGTCGTAGCCCCGCCCCAGGCCTCGCCCCTTGAACCTCATGGGGAGAGCGACATCGTGCGTTGTCTCCCAGAACTGGCTCTGGCCAGACAGATATCCCAGGCCAGGAAGTCAGTCCTCCCTCTTCAGACCAGACCCCGGCCCCTCCCGCCTCAGACCCAGGGGTCTGGGCCCCCAGCCCCTCCCCCGTCAGACCCAGGAGTCCGGGCCCCCAGCCCCTCCTCCCTCAGACCCAGGGGTCCAGACCCCCAGCCCCTCCTCCCTCAGACCCAGGGGTCCGGGCCCCCAACCCCTCCCCCCTCAGACCCAGGAGTCCAGGCCCCCAGCCCCTCCTCCCTCAGACCCAGGGGTCCAGATCCCCAGCCCCTCCTCCCTCACACCCAGGGGTCCAGACCCCCAGCTCCTCTCCCCTCAGACCCATGGGTCCGGGCCCCAGCCCCTCCTCCCTCAGATCCAGGGGTCCAGACCCCCAGCCCCTCCCCACTCAGACCCATGGGTCCGGGCCCCAGCCCCTCCCCCCTCAGACCCAGGAGTCCGGGCCCCCAGCCCCTCCCCCCTCAGACCCATGGGTCCAGATCCCCAGCCCCTCTCCCCTCAGACCCATGGGTCCGGGCGCCAGCCCCTCCCCCCTCAGATCCAGGAGTCCTGGTCCCCTGTAGAGGATGAAATCATTTCTCCAGCTTGCCCCTGCCTTGACCCCAGCCAGCTGCCCCATCAGTGCCCCACTGACAGGTCTGACACAAGTGTTTGGTAAGGGGCGTCCGGGGGAGGAGACATGGGGTCCTGTGTGGGGAAAGGATGAGACAACAAGATTCCAGAACGATGCAGTGAGAAATGACCTCAGACTCGGAGCAGAGGGGGAGCAGGTGGTGCAGCAACTGGGAAGTGAAGGCCCTGAAGGGAGGGGAAGAAGGGAGGGGAGTCCCAGTTATGAGTCTGCAGACTTCAAAGTTGGGCGGGGGGCAGGCAGCGACTCCCAGGGCTGAAGGAGGAGGCAGGGGCGGGGTCCCGGAGGGTTGCACCCACCCCCTCAGGTTTAGAGCGAGATGATCAATGTGAAGTCACTTGATTCTTTTTAAATTTACTTTTTATTTCAGAATCATTTTTAGATGTACAGGACAGCTGCTTTGAGCTCCCATGTCGCCTCACCAAGCTCCCTGCCAGGTGAGTCCCTCACCCAGCCGTCGGTGCATTTGTCCAAATGAAGACAGAAACCGTCAGTCAAACGCTAGATGCTTCCCATGTCCATCAACAGCCTTTACCTGCCCCAGGGTCCAATTCAGGACACCCCGTCGTATGGAGTGAACTCACGTTTTTAAATCTAGAAAGCACGTAGGACAGATTCCCCAGAAAGAAGCAGGCCCCCCGTGGCCGTGCTGGGTGCGGGGCACGCGGCATGGGATCCACGCAGCCCCTGCCCTGCAGGCGGGAAGCTTCACAAGTCACGGGTCTGTGTGCTGGGATGGGGGTGGCATCGCGCCGGCCCGGGTGAACACAGATCCCTGCAAACCAGCCGTGGCCCTCAGCGTGGACGGGACCAGCACACGCCACGGTGCTTGTGCTCTCAGGGAGCTGGCGCAGGAGGCTCGCCGTGTGAGAGCAGAACCCGAAAGGATGTGCAGGGGGACAAGACCAAGTCTATCCTGGGCAGCCTGCGAGGGGAGATGAAAAAGGTGGAGGCGCAGATCGCTGGGCTACAAGTTTCGGAGGAGCCGGAGAGGCCCCCGGGGAGGGGTCTACTTTCTGGAGGCCTGGAGTTGGGAAGAAGGCATTCTCGGGGGAGAACACAGGGTTTCCAAACGTCTGCAAGCAAGAGAGTGTGTGTGTGGCTATCTGTGTGTCCATTTAGGTCCAGAAAGGATGAGTGCCTCCCCTTAATGTCCCCCAGAGCCCAGGGAAGTGGGAGAGATGGAAGGCGAGGTTTCCGTGGTGTTGGATATGGAAGCCCAGATTTGGTGCCAAGGCCAGCGGGAGTCACCTGAGGTCTTAAAGGAGAGGACTGACCACGTCACAAGTCCATAAGCACCCAACATGTCCCCACCGTGCAGAAATGCATCTACAGGGGAAACAGCACCTTCCTTCAAGAAGACACGCTCAGGACAGAAGAGAGAGGAAGGGTCCTTGAGGGAGGAGGGGTCAGGACCCCTGGATCTGAGGGAGGAGGAGTGGGGGTCTGACCCCTAGATCTGAGGGAGGAGGGGTGGGGGTCTGACCCCTGGTCTGAGGGGGGAGGGGCTGGGGGCCTGGACCCCTGGGTCTGAGGGAGGAGGGGCTGGGGGTCTGGACCCCAGGGTCTGAGGGAGGAGGGGCTGGGGGCCTGGACCCCTGGGTCTGAGGGAGGAGGGGTGGGGGTCTGACCCCTGGGTCTGAGGGAGGAGGGCTGGGGGCCTGGACCCCTGGGTCTGAGGGAGGAGGGGCTGGGGGCCTGGACCCCTGGGTCTGAGGGAGGAGGGGTGGGGGTCTGGCCCCTGGGTCTGAGAGAGGAGGGGTGAGGGTCTGACCCCTGGGTCTGAGGGAGGAGGGGCTGGGGGCCTGGACCCCTGGGTCTGAGGGAGGAGGGGCCGGGGGTACCGGACCCCTGGGTCCTCAGTCAGGAGGGGAATTGTGCATACAAGTCCAGGCTTCAGTTGGGAGAGATGCAATGTGTTCCATCTCTGTCCTCCCGGGAGCAGCTGTCTCTCCATCCAGGTGGCCATGGGGGCTGGGGGAGAGGCCTTTGGCCCAAGCTCTGGGCGCTTGTCCCAGTCAGCTGGTCAGGGCTGTCCCCCATCTGTCCGCACCTCCCACCATCATTGTCGTCATTCTCCTCCCCCTCTGACCACTCTTCCAGGCTTGCTCCCCCCTCTTCCTCCTCCCCGTCTTCACTGGACACACTCCCCAAGCCCCCAGGTCTCTCTTTGTTCTCCTTTAACCCCCAATCATCCCCCAGGAAGCCCAGGACAGCCAGTGGGGGGATCCTAGTCTCTTGATTCAGGTCCAGAAGCCCCTGGAGCAGTACCAGAGCCGGGGGCGCAAACTGGTCCCAAGGGGGCGGTGGTTGAAGTGGCTGGGGCCTGGTGGTCATCCAGCCAGCAAAGGCCTCGAACCCAGGGTCAGGGGCTAGCGCCGCATCCCAAGGGAAACAGGCCATGGCCGCACAGAAGAGAAGCACCCCCAGCCCCCAGGAGTCCACTGCTGGTCGCAGGGGCAGGGTGTCAGGGGGCAGCAGGAGGCAGAGCTCGGGTGGGGCGGAGGGCAGTGGCCCTGGCGGGGCAGAGGTTGGACTGCCCTCAGGCCGGGTCAGACCCAGGTCACCCAGGGCCACACGGCTGCAGACAGGGTCGAAGACCAGCACGTTGTCTGGCTTGACGTCCGCATGGACCAGCCCCCGGCCATGGAGGAAGTCCAGGGCTCCAGCTAGCTGGGCCACCACCCGCTTCACCTGCAGCTCTGGGAGGCCCTGGGGTCAAAGAGAGAGGACGAATGTCAGGCTGCCTTGGTTCCTTCTTTACGTTGCTTCCTGGGGTTCAAGAATCCAAATCCCCAGACAAGGGGCTACCTCTAGTGTCCCCAGAACATCCCCCCAACAGCTTCTCCAGATCACCCTCAACCACAAGCTGCCCCCACATCTGTGCTCCTGTAGACCAAATCCCAGATGTTTTCCTCACTGGAACCCCAGATCTAACGAGAACTTCTTGAACTTCCATCAGACTTTGTCCTAACACTCAAACCCATTCCTTATATTTCTTATCTCCTCTAAACTGACCACCAAGATCTCCAGTGAAAACCCAAATCCCACACTTAATCCTAATCTGAGTCCCGTACTAATGGAGGTCCCATCTCTAACTCAGACCCAGTTCTAAAGTCCCACAGTTTATTTCATCAATCGACTGATAGATCGATCCATCCAGCTAGCCATGCAGCAAGACAGCAATCCATCCATCAAACCAGTTAAACATCCAACGGTCTATACAGCAGGGTTTCCACTCAATACCCATTCCGCCAGCTAGTCAGCAATTCAATAATTTGTCCAGTTATTTAATAGCCAACATCCATCCATTCATCCCTCCATCCTTCAATCCATCCAAACATCCATCCATCCATCCATCCACCCATCCTTCCATCCATCTGTCCATCCTACTCTTTCCCTCCTTCTCTCCCTCCCTTCCTTTTTTCCTTCTGTTTATCCCCAACCCTATTTCAAATCCAAAGTCTATTCCTAAAGATGGCCCCACCCTAACTTCAAACTCAAGTACCCCCAGAATATCATGGATTCAGTCCTGACCTGGTCTTTCTAGAGAGAACTTCATTACAGCCCTTCTCCAACTCAACCTACATACACATTCCCAAGCATCTCTGCTTCACTCTGCAGCCCCAGCCATGCTCTTCTCCACACCCGTGACCAATCTATAATCAACCCTAAACTCAACCCATCCAACTCCACCCACACCCGTTCCCAATGCCAATGCCCATTAAAAGCCCATCTCTGTCTCCTTCCCTACCCCCTCATCCGACCTGATCCATCCTCAGCCCCAATCCCAACTCCCCGCCCTGGATGGATTAGGGTTGGGGTTAGTCATGGAACTGCACTGAGAATTAGAAATAAGGAGGTGGTTTGGGGGCTTAGGGTGGAGTTAAGATTTGGGGGTCAGGGTTGGAGACAGGACTGGGGGAGGGACAAAGTCAGACCTGGGATGAGCAGTCCCAACCTCTGTCCCTTGCCTCCCTGCCTCACCCGTTCCTGCAGCATCCCGCTGAGATCCCCACAGGGCGCATACTCCTGGGCCAAGGCGAAGTGTCGGGGCGTCTCCAGGGGTCCTGCCAGGGTCTGGAGCAGGCCTGGATGTGATGAGACACAGCGGCCCACACAGAACTCTCTCAGGAAGGTGGTTCTCAGGACCGAGTCCCGAGGTAGGAGCTTCAGAGCCACAGCCGGACCTGCTGGGGAGGCGGGGGCAGAAGGGAACTCAGGGCGCTCTGATCTTGCTGTGGGGCCCTAGGCAAGCCACTCAACCTCTCTGAGCCTCAGACGCCTTACTTATCAAACAAGAGGGGCAGGGCATAGTGTCTGACCTCTCTGCGCCTCGAGTTTCTCCATCTGTGAAGTGGAGGCTGGAGGAGACCTTCCCTGAGGACTCTCTGCTCTGCCTCAGATTGCTTTGTGGTCTTGCACAACTGCCCTACCCTCTCTGGACCTCAGTTTCCTCTCGCATAAAGTAGGGGACGCGGAGACTTGAATTTCAGTCCAAGTTGTGCTCCCGCCTTGCTGTGTGACCTCAGGCAAGTGTCTCACCCTCTCTGGGTGAGTTCCATTTTTTGGAAGACCACAGAGCTCTTAACTTTCTGGAGCCCCATCAAGATGTGTCCTCATCAGCTCCCCGCAAGGCTGCTCCCTGTCTCAGTGGTTTCAGAGGGGGAAACCTGGGGGACATCAAGGACTGTGCCCTTTGGTGGCCAAACTCACCCCCTTGGCGAGGCCGGGCAAGGAGCACATGGCCGAAGGAGCCGGAGCCAAGCTTTCGGATGAGGTGATACTGGACACGCAGACTCCTCACTGGGGTCACCCTGGTGGCCGTCAGCTCCACGAGCCTCTGGAGGGCCGTGGCTGTGTCCTCCTGCAGGAGAGGGACAGAGGTGGGGAGGGGGTGAGTCTGGGGGCCACCTAGAGCAGCAGGGGGGCCTGGAGGCCCAGCCCAGGGCTGAGGTGGGGGGTTGGTCCCCAGAGAGGGGGATGAGTCACAATGACTCACCCGCCCTCGGGCCACCTGTTTTTGTGTCCTGGCGGGGTTATGGGTGACTGTCTCAGCGACCCTGCCCACTGCCATCTGTGGGAGTCACCAAAAGCCCAGCCCCACTGGGGACCTCCTCAGCCCACACCACCCCGACTCTACCCCTCTCTTTCTCCATCCTCCTCTCTTCCCGGGTTTCCTGTTCTTTGTTTCTGAGTACATTTCCCCCAGGGGTCTTGGCCTTGCTGTGTGTCCTCGGGTTTAGTTCTTCTGGGTCTTTGATGTTTCTCTGTTTCCCTGTCTCTTCCGTGTCTCTCTGTGTCTCTCTGTGTGTGTCTGCCCCCAGCCCTCTCCATCTCCCGCATCTCTCTCTGTCTCTCTCTGTCTCTCCCTCCCTCGTCTCCTTTCTCTCACCTCCGGGTCCCCATCCTCCTGGTTCTCGGGGTCCCTGAGCTCCATCTCAAGGGTGACCTGGTGTCAGCTGGCCCTCGGGCAAGCACCCCTGGTCTGGGCTCCCCAAAAGCAGCACGCCCACTGAGCTCCACTGCACCCCTGAGCAGAGCCAAGGCCTGGAGCTCATCTGAAGGGTCTGCCTCCGTGCCCCTCTGCGTCCGAGTCCAGAGACTTCCCTGCCTGTCTGGCCCCCTCTCTCCACACCTCCCTGTCTCTGTCTTGCCCTTTTTCTAGCTCCCGGGTCTCAGGGTGGGTCTCCCCGCCTGTCTGTTGGTCCCCGGCCCCTCCCTCCTGTCCCCACGCTCTTCCCACTATGGTCGCTGTCTGTCTGTCTGTCTGTCTTTCAGGATGTCCGCACTCTGTCCCCCACTCTGGCCTGCTCTCCCCAGTGTCTCTCCGTCTCTCTCCCGTCTTTGTTTCTGACTCTCTCCAAGCCTTTTGTCCCTCCCTTTTTCTGGGCCTGGGACAGGGGTGTGTGTGACAGCTCAGAGACATCCTGTCACCCCCCCCACCCCCTCCCTCCCCCTTCCAAACTTAGACCAGCTTGGACTCTGGGCTCTGGTCCCAGGACAGAGGGGACAAAACATATTATGAACCCCCAGGGGCCGGGCCTGAGGGCAGCAGAGAAAGGGGAGCCCAGCCCCTTCATACACCTTACCTGGGTTGGGAGACCCAGGGCTCTGTGCATCCACCTGCCTCCATGGGCCTCTGGTGACCAGGGAGACCACTCCCAAAGCCCCCTAATACCAAGAGTCCCCCCCAGCCCTCCCCCATCAGACCCGGGAGCTCTTAATAGAGAGCCTCTGGGGAAAAGTCTTCTTTCATGTACTCAGCAAGGCTCTGAGGCCAGCTCTGCGCTGGGACCTTTATGCTGCATCTTCCCAGCCACGCAGAAGGGTGGTGATTTATCCCCAGTTTACAGAAAAGGAAACTGAGGTTCTGAGTGGCAATCGGCTTACGTGGGGTCAGAGAGGAGGAGGTGTGGGGTGACGCGGGACAGGCCTGTGTGACTCAGCCCGGACGCCTGCCCCATCAGGTTTCAACTACTACTACAACCTGCTATTAATAAAGACGCAGCTAGAAAGGTCTCTGGGCCCCTGGAAGGATCCCCAGGAAACTGGCTTCTGTGTTGGCCCTGGGAACCTGGGCAGGGCTGGCGGGGTGCAGTGCAGAGGCAGAACTTCCTTTGTTCTTTGACTTTTCGAGGTTTGTGGAAAGTTGCAAGCACAGAACAGTGGAAAAGGAAAGCCACAGGGAACACCCTCCACTCCATTGACCAGACTTCACAAACATTACTTTTTGCCATACTCTCTTTCTCTCTCTTTTCTTTTGTGGGGATGGAGTATTTTAAAGTAAATTGCAGCCTAGGGAAATCATCTGGGGCAAAATGATACACTGCCTGGTGTTTGGTTTCAAATACTCCAGCGGAGGAAAACATGGCCCAAGTGAGGGTGGGGATCTTGAGTCAACAGCACATGTGTTGCTGAGCACATGGAAGTTCCTTTACTCTTTACTCTTGGTTCTGCTAGAAATTTTCCCTCATAAAAAGCTAAAAGTCACTAAATAAACTACAGACATCATGATAAATTCTGCCCCAATGCTCAGGTTTACGTTTCCATCAAAGGAAGGAAAATTTCCAGCTCAACTGCAAAACTCTTATCAATCACATCGAACGGCACTGACGGTAATTCCTTAACATAAGCTAATACTCAGTCTGTATTCTTCGTCCCCCAATTTTCCCAATTTTCTATTGCTGCTTCAGTTGAGTCAGTAATCAGTGTCAACGTGACTTTGGAGGAACTTTTTTTTTTTATTTTGAAGTATAGTTGACTTACAATATTGTGTTAGTTTCAGGTATACAGCATAGTGATTCTTTTTTTAAAAAAATATATTTATTTATTTATCTATGGCTGCATTGGGTCTTTGTTGCTGCACGCGGGCTTTCTCTAGTTGCGGCAAGCGGGGGCTACTCTTCGTTGCGGTGTGCGGGTTGCTCATTGTGGTGGCTTCTCTTGTTGCGGAGCTCGGGCTCTAGGTGCGCGGGCTTCAGTAGTTGTGGCACGCGGGCTCAGTAGTTGTGGCCTGCAGGCTCTAGAGCGCCGGCTCAGTAGCTGTGGCGCACGGGCTTAGTTGCTCTGTGGCATGTGGGATCTTCCCGGACCAGGGCTCAACGCCATGTCCCCTGCATTGGCAGGTGGATTCTTAACCACTGTGCTACCAGGGAAGCCCCTGAAGGAACTTTTGATCACTCTGCCTTTTGTATTATTTGAATTTCCCCCACAGCATGTTACCTATTCAAAAACTAAAACTAAAATTAAATAATGCGATGATGACCCTTCATTCAGTGCTTATAAGGTGTCAGGCCCTGGCTCTTTATTTTTTAACTTTTTAAAATTCATTCAAGACTTTGTGGAGTCCTCCCGACAAGGCTTGGACGAGTAGGATGATGGCTTCCAATTTACTGATGGGGAAACTGAGCCCTGGAGAAACAGAGGCATTGGTCAGCAGCCAGAGAGAGGCAGAGCCAGGATTCGCGAGGGTCCGGGGACCCCAGGCTGCCCTCTACCACGCCACCACCCCACTCAGGCTAGAGCTGAGTCCCTCCCCTGGGGGGCTGCAGGGCCTGCAGGGCAGCTGCTGGGCTGGAGCTGAAAGGTCAGGCTGCAGAGCTGGCCACCTGGGTCCCCCAGTGGGAGGGTGAGAGGGGCCGCTGCAGGCCTCTGGCCCGCCCCAGCCCCCCCAGAGGCTCACTGATGATCCGGAGAGCTTTACACCTCCCCATTTAGCCACACTGCCGCGTGGGGTCACCCAGAGTGACCGGGAGAGGCAGGTGTGATGGTGCGGGGGGAGGCCCAGCCCAGGCCCCAGGGTGCACACACCCCTGTTAAAGCTGGGCTCTGGGCCTCCTGCCTCCCCACGCCCCCGTGTCTGCTGCTCTCCAGCTCCCAAGGACTCCTCCTGTGACTGTCTCCTGCCTCTGTCCCCCTGGCCAAGTGTCCAGCTACCTCCGTGCCTCAGTTTCCTCCTCATGAAATGGGAGCAATTGCTGGTCGTACTCAGAGCATTATTGTCAAAGAAACATTTAAAGTTTGTAACATATTATACACTGACAATACATAATGATTGTACCTGATACAATCACAAATGCAATATACATGATCTTATATATAATTATATATACTATGGACTCTCATATATAGGAGGTCTGGTATATATCTTATATATTATTTATATACTTTATATATTTTTCCAAATAAAATATTTACTTAAAGATCACATCAAGAATTAACTGCACTTCAGGGCTTCCCTGGTGGCGCAGTAGTTGGGAGTCCGCCTGCCGATGCGGGGGACGCGGGTTTGTGCCCCGGTCAGGAAGGATCCAACATGCCACGGAGCGGCTGGGCCCGTGAGCCATGGCCACTGGGCCTGTGCGTCCGGGGCCTGTGCTCTGCAACGGGAGTAGGCCACAGCGGTGAGAGGCCCGCGTACCCGCAAGAAACAAAAAACAAACAAACAAACAAAAAAAGAATTAACTGCACTTCAAATGTTATGCAGTTGGGGAATTCCCTGGCGGTCCAGTGGTCAGGACTCCGTGCTTTCACTGCCAAGGGCCCAGGGTTCAATCCCTGGTCGGGGAACTAGGACCCCACAGGCCACATGGCATGACCCTCCCCCCCCCAAAAAAGAAAAAATGTTGCGCAGTTGATCACTCACCTGCCCACCCCCATATCCTTGGACCAAAAAAAGGATAAAAAGAAAAAGAAAAAAAAAAAAAACCTGTAACGTTACATTGATGTGTCTTGTCCGGAAAGAATAAGATCACATACTAGTAGGGCAAATCTTGGCCATTAGCAGTTTTCGGGGTGCGTCATGAAGACTGGGCTGCCCTCCCCTCTAGGTTCACAAGAATCATGCTGTTTTCTCTCTATTGCACCCGGGCAGGGGGCTCTGTTCCTACAGGCACTGGATAAATACTGTTAAACAAAATAATGGATGAAAACACTAGACATAGCACCTAGAACAGAGCGATTGCTCAGTGTTACGATTGCTCTCAACAAATACGCTGATGGCAGTTACAACAGGCCAGACACTGTGCTGGGGGCTTTATTCCCCCGTGCAGGAATCTCACGGAATCCTCACCAGCTACCTGTCAGAGCGGCTCTAATATATTTCAAGGCACACGCAGGCCACATATGACCCCTCACTGCCTGTCTGTCTGACCTGGTCAACACAGCAGTACAAACCCTTGCTACGGTTCCTCATGCAAAAGAATATGTCAGGCACACACACAAAATATCCCAAATAACCATAATAAGCACCTCCATGTCCACCACCGTCCAGCTGAAGAAATAGAACTTTTCAGATATAACTGGAACCCTCTGTGTACTTACCCTTCTCCAAGTCCTTCCCTTCCCTCCCAGAAGTAATCACCATCCTTAAGGAGGTGGTGTTGTATAAATAGCATCAAAGGTTAAATGTTGATGCTATACGAAGGTCAAATGTTGTATAAATAGCATCACCTCTCTGACCTTCCGCAGCTTGCTTTTGTCCTCACCAGCTCACCCCTGTGAGTTTCATCCGTGCGGTTACACGGAGCTCAGGCTCTTTGTTTTGCAAAGATGTTGAATAGTCTAGTGTATGGACACGTTGTATTTTATGGATGCGTTCTTCCGAGCGTGGACATTTTATTTTTCTCCACTATCATGCTCTTCCAAGCAGGGCTGCAGAGAATATTCTTATATGTGTTGCCTTGTGCTGAGTGGTACACTTCATGGGGCACTGGCCTCAAAGTGGAATTCCTGGGTCGAAAGAAAAACGCGCCTCTAAATTCTTAGATATTGCCACGTGGCTCTCCAAGGTGGCTGTATCTGACATCGCCTTTTTATTTTTATTTTTGAGTCCGCAGGTCTCTTGGAGAGTCTCAAGAAAGCTATAGAGATGTGCACTGTCTGATACGAAAGCCACTAGCGGTGTGGAGCGCTTTCGCACTTGAAACGTGGCTTGTC